TAGCGGTCTATCCATGTCAAGTTTTGGTGTTCCCATTTTTTCATTAGGTGCTCTATTTCCTTGTGTAATTCCAAATAATTTGATTTAAACAGATTGGTAAGGTTGCTTGTTAATTTGATCCCAAGGTATGGTAAGTAATCTGTGGCCCATTCAAAGGGATAATTCTGTTTCAGAGAGGTTTGTACCTTTTCTGGGATAAAGATGGGCATTATTTGGGATTTAGATTCGTTAATTTTAAGACCTGATACCTTGCTAAAATTGCTGAGTAACAGCGTCAGATTAGGTATAGACCTTTCTGGGTTAGTCAGGTATAAAATCATATCATCCGCAAACAAGGAAACTTTGTATTCTGAGTCTCCAATTGTAATACCTGATATATCCTTATGTGATCTTATCGCATGAGCTAGTGGCTCAATAGCCATGGCAAAAAGCACTGGTGACAGGGGACACCCCTGCCGTGTCCCTCTTTGTAAGTGAATGGAGTCAGAGAGTGAACCATTGACTTTTATATTGATAAATGAATCCTTGTACAAATTATCGATTGTGCGTATAAATTTGGGGCCAAAATTCATGTCTTTCAAGACTGATAAAAGATAGGGAAATTGTACTGAATCAAATGCCTTTTCAATATCCAGGACAAGGAGGGCCATAGGTGTTTTCTTCGCTGAGCAGTATTGCAAAATAGACAAGGTTTTATAAGTATTATCAGCGAGATCCCTATTAGGGATAAAACCAACTTGATCTCTGTGAATATACCGGGAAATAAATTTGTTAATTCTCTTTGCCAAAATAGATGTAAAATTTTTTGCGTCCTGATTAATTAAGTTGGGCGATACGACTTGGGGTGAAGAGAGTCTCTCCCTTTCTTAGGAATAACAACCATGGAAGCATGTTTCCAGGATCTAGGTACAACACCTGTATCCAGTACATGGTTAAGTGTCTTTGTCAATTGGGGCACAAGCTGCTCCGCAAAAGCTTTATAGTATTCAGCCAGGTATCCGTCCGGTCCCGGTGATTT